CTGATTTGTCCTTAGCAGAGGGGCTACAGTAGTAATTAATATTTACATTACGGTAGTGCCCACAACGCTCATCATGATTAGGGCTTACTGGACTAAGCTCTTTATAAATGTCACCAGAGTCACTCATCCCAACAGTTTAACCTCTGAGAAAAGGGGTATCTCCTGCTAATTCTCAACCACCGTTTCTCAAATAATGATAGAAGCTGTTTTCCTGGTTATTAAGACTTCAGCCATTAAAGGCATTGTTCAAGGGAGTGCTGTTGCTCGAGCTGACTTTCCAAGATACTTCAGATTCTAGAGGTGAGACAGGCAATGTGGATTTCCAAACCATCCCATGTACTTTCCTCACAGCCTGCACCTATCAAGATGCATCTGAAATGATGTTGTTCCATGAGCAAAGTATATCTAATCTTGCATTTGGTTCACTCAGTGGAAGTCCTCTGAAATCTAATTTAGTACCCTCCTGCTACAATGAAAAAGGCATGTTGACCAGAGGAATGACTGTCTAGAACTCGAAACATCCTTCAGAGACTCATTAAAGTGAGGTAAAACAGAACTGTGAAGCTGTTAAAATCAGGAAGGGACTGCTAATGTACTGTTTTCCACGGTACCAAGCATAATGAAACAAGGCAAAACTGGCATCTTAAAAAGTGTGTCTGTCCAACCAACAGTATGTATTATTTGAGACCTACCTGACACTGAAGCCCATACAACTGTAGATGTTGTAGAACCACAATCAGACTTCTCGGGTCACAGCATTGCACAAGATACAAGCAGCATTCTACCTCCATTGGTGGCTGCTACTTTGTTCTGCATTGAAATTGCTCTGCGTCCATGAAAAGACCCAGTAAGTGATGTCATAGAATTAATCCATGAACTCAGAATTCTGAGGGACCTAATAAAGCACCAATTTCCTCAACTCCAGATACAACCTTTGCCCTTCAGCACTGCATGACCTCCAGTAAACACAAGATGAACCGGAGCTGAGTTATAGGACTTTTTTTTTTTTACACTGATGCAGCTGAGGGACATCACAAACCCACCTTCCCTCCAGCCTCCAGCTGTGCATGCTCATGCCTCTGGGCTTGCACTCCCTGACTGCATTCAACAGCTCAGGGATGTGAACTGGCAGAAAATTTACCTTAGGAAAATAAGTGAACTGTCTTCTGTTTGGGGCTCTGTGACTGCTGCAGGGCCCAAACGTGAACACTGGGATCTGCTGTGCCACCATGGCTCAGCTGCTAAGATGACAGTCTTAAACCCTTCCTTCGAGATCATACAATCTTTTAGGATGTGGCTAAAATCAAAGCTACTGCAGTCCCCACTGTCCCCTTTCCTATCACAGCTACTGATTCCCATCTCCCTTTGTGAGGTGCCACAGATGCCCATGGAATTACACTGTGATTCAGTCAAAAACTAACCCCCAAAAAAAGAAAAAAAAAGTATTTCTCAGCTGGTTCAGTTCCCCAAGTCAAGTCCACTGGCCCATCCCATTAGTGGCAGTGGAGGAGATGAGATGGCACAACCGGCACACTGTGTGGCACATGGCAGGACTGCAGCCTCCCCGGCTTACAATAGCTCAAGCAGCCATAGAACTTCACCTGTATGTTGCAACAAGAAAAAATTAGCAGAAGCCCATGTTTCAAAACAACCTAGGGCAGGGCATTTGACCTCACACATCAAACAAGCAAACCTGACACTGAACAAAAAAGGACCTTATTAAAACAAAACAAAGTAACAGCAAAAACACCAATGCCCATCTGAAATGACTTTCATACTCATGCCAATAAAACAAATTAAAGTCATTTATGTTTTCTGCTCTTCATTCTATCAATGCAATCCAATGTGAACATTTACTAAATTACTCATTAAAGACAAAATAAAGGATTAGTCTTCGCAGACACACACAGCCTACTGCTGACACAAGCTCCTTTACTGCAACAACAAATTTGCAGATATATCATTTGGAAGCTTTTTCCTGTAAGTCTACTCTAGCTTTCTCAGAATAGAAGAAACGTGTATTTTGCTATTATCCCTTAAGTCTCCATAAATACATTCTGTAGTAGCTGCTCTCCAGCCAATTTCATTCAGGTTTCTACCCCTTTATTCTGTAGGGAACAGCTTCTGTTTATAACTTCCTTTCCTTCACAGAGTCCCCAACTCCCATGTTCTCTCAAAAGCTTGAGATTTCCTTCTAATTGTGACCCCAACAAAAGTGCTCAGAGCACTATTCTGTGCAACTTTTCATTTGGGCTCTCAGTGACTCCACATGGTCAGAGACCCACAGGTCACACCCTCCACAGATCAGAGCAGTTAGGAGAAGGAAAGCAAGCATTATAGAGAATCTGACAGGCCATTAGAAGTGGCTAATAAAGCCATATTTTGTTTGTAGCCATTTGTTACCAACCCACATTACAAATTTGTCCACTTTGAACTTTATGGGGAACATTCATGCCAGGACTTTTATATACAATGTGTGAAGGAAATGGAACAACTATTGAGCTGTTTAGCTGTGCTTACTGTGACACAAACCTGCTGAAAAAACTCCCCCCCAAAGGATAACACAAGCCAGCATTCAGTGCTGCAGAAATGGCCAGCTCCTCTTCAAATCCATCAAAGTGAAACTCTTTTCAAAGCCACATCAGAGAACACCATTCACCATTTAGTATTACATTTCTTTTGTTGTTTTTAGACACTTGTATAAGCTTGCTATGTAGCTGCTGTGATTTTACACAATGCCCTTAAGAAATAAAGAGATAACGGGCAAATTGTATAGATACCAGAATACCATGAAACAAAACACAACCAAATTTTATTAGAAGTGTAACACCACTGCCGTCATTTCAAGGTTCACTGTACACTGTCGACCTACTGACTACCCTCAAGAACAGCACTATCTTGAAAACAAGCTTAAGGAGCCGTATTTGTCATCCCAAAATGACACTATAACTAGCAATACTAAACAAAGGATAGTGGTCACAGATTTTCATATGCAGAACTCTTGCTCCAGGGAAAAAAAAACACCAAAACAAACCATATTTATATGGTCAAGCCATCCATACCTCAGAGTTATGTTAAAGCATTTATCATGTTCAGCAGAGTTTGAACGTATGGATTGTTCCTAATTTCTAAGACATTTTCCTTGGAAGTAAGATGATGGGGAGTTTGCTCACACCACCAAAAAGAGCATCATTTCCACATACAAAGGGTTGCAGTTGTTTCAAAAAACAAAACACAAAACAACCCCTAAACCAAAACCAAATAAAAATGGTAAAACACCCCATTCCTCTCCATATCCAAACAGCAGGGTTTTTGAGTACATGAAGTGCTCCGTGGTTATGTATCAAGGCTGTTCAGTAATGAATTGTCTCAAGAACAGCATTTCAGACCAACTTAGAGTTTAAGCTATGTGGACAAAATGGTTAACATTCACTGTTAATACTACCAGCTTACTCATACCTAGAATAATAATGAGCTACTAAATATACCAAACACTCAGGGACACAGATAATACCCAACGCTCTGCTTAGATATCATGATGAAGGAGGTAGGACAGGGCATGGATTAAAAGTAGGACAACTGTTTAAGAAAAAAACACAGGCAAATTAGTAGAACATTACTTGATAAATAACTTTACTTCTCTGTACCCCAATAAACACTGTTCATGAAAAACTGGGAGGTGAGAAGTCCCTTTTAATAATGCTGCTTTTTAAAGTAGGTAGTTGTTGCCAAAACAGTACAATGTCCACAGTAGGTACTATTTTAAGCTAATTGCCAGCATTCATTTTTGAGTCCTGTTCAGATAAATCAGTCTCTTTAAAAAACATTTCCTGAAAAACTGTCAAATTAATACTAGTTCAAAGCAAAAGGATATCTCTTCTCACACCAGTTTCAATACTTTCTCCCAAGACATGCAGATCTCAAACATCATGTAAAGAATTCGTGGCACATATACTCTCCTAGGTGCCAAAGATAAAACTTTAAAATGCTATGAAGATGTTTATTGTCCTATTTTTAGGGGTTGACATAGTACTGTGTGCCAGAGGTAAAATATACAATGTACTGCCAGATTTCACAAATACATTTGGTGCCCTGTTAAGGTAAACTCTTCAGAGAGATCCCTCTGCTAACTGGAAATGAATATATACCCAGTGAACTGCAGGAAACACCCTATATGTTTATGATATATTGTTCCAAGCCAGAGGTCACATAGTTTTCATCATTTAAGCTGAACATATTCTAGTTGGTTTAAATTCATGCTGTTTTACTACCAATGAACAAGAAAATCCCCAAACCAATGGGGGCACACAGAGACAAGGCCAAGGAGTACTTTGTCCATTACAGTGAAATAAGACCTTCGAAAATGCAAGCAGCTGCATTTTAACACCCTTTGCGAAGTGTGTTAAGTTGTGGTGTTTCCCTCATAGCAGAATGCAAAACAGCTCAGAAAAACTAAGAAATGTTAGTTCAAAGTAATCTCCTAACCCAAAGATCAGCCTAGCTCCGGTATCACTGTCATTCCCACTTCTACACTTCTGTGGTAACACACAGTAGCAGAATTAACATGTCAAACTCATTACTGATGCTGTGTGTTTGGAGCAAATAACTCCTGTCAGCAGTATTCTAAACCAGAATCTACTGAAATCCTTTGAAAAGGGCACAGAAGAAAAGCCTCTTCCTCACCAGACAGTTTTGTGCAAGTATGGAATTCCTAAAGATAAAAAAAAAAATCAATCCATTTCCTCTATGCAAATATACATGTGCACAAGCACAAAACATGCATGTGCATAAACAATGCACTTTTTGAAGCAGAACAAGCCTAAGCTAAGTCCACCCATACACAAGCTGTCTGGTCTCACCAGATTTTAAAAAACGGTTTGTGACCAACCTCATTTAATGTTTCTTCTTTCAGTATTTCCCATCTGATCATCCTAGATACAATGAAATCCTATGTGAAGTGTTTTCATTTTACAATTCTGAAACAAACACTAGTTTCTTACTGGTAAGCTTGATGGTCTTTCTTGCTGGATTAGATTCAAGTCTTCATGGTTAGGCTTTCCTGGGGCCATAGGGGGTTGAGATCTGGTTCCATAGCCTTCCTGAGACATGTCCTGCAACAACAATTGTAACAGAATTATTAACCTGACACAGTAATTACAATTAAATCTGCATCACAGAAGGGTGAAAATACAACAGCTGAGTGGTGATGGAATTTTTGATCAGACGATTTTGCTAGTTGTTACTAATTAAACCCATGCAGTTTGACTTGCGCCGTACAGAAAGAAATCCAAGGAGCAGAGCAACATGCTAACAAGGAACCACATCACCAGAACATGGGGAAAACAGACAAAAACAAACCTGCTAAATAAACAACCCCCTTCTAGCATAAAAGAGTAGCAAGCACAAAGTGGTCGAAACATTCATCCATTCATCCTATGCTGAGATGTATTCTCAAGCCTGTGATGAAGCACTGAGCCAGATGGAAGACTGAGTTGAAAGTAAGATGGTAATCACGGTGCGTAATCAGACTCCTGTAACAGCCCTGGATTTACCATCACTACTATTGGGACAGCTTTCAAACACTGGCTATCAGGTCATAGAACCCAACGCATTCGCTGCATCTGTTGGAGGCACATTGTGTCCCAGAGGTTAGAAGGAAAGTGTGTTTGATCAACAGCAGCTCCAAAGCCTGTACCAGCAACCTGGGGATTTACCTCCCTATACAAGCCCAAGCAGTCTTAGGTAATGGCCTAACACCACACCCCTCACACAGGGGCAGGAAGAGCAACAAACCAACCTCCCCCCTGCCATCAATCATCCCACAACACAGGCTTACTTCACACGTATAGATACTTGCCCAGTGCAAAGCCTCGGATTCAGGCTTCATTTTAGCTGCTAGAGCAGCTTCTATGCTAACTTTTTCAAGGAAAACAACAGAAAGTGCAATACTGACTTCAGCGTCTGTAACTGGCAGGGAAAGTTGAAGAACCAGTTCCCGAATGCTAGAAAAGATATGGCACCTTAAAAGGTTTTCTTTTGTTGTTTTTAAATGGCTTCATTCTCCTCTCCCCCTCATGACTTTTCTACCGTTCAATTTGCTTCAGCCACCCTCACACCTGCAGTTTTGACACGCATCTGAAAGCTCCCACGTGCTCCTGGTGTGAAGGGGCAGGGGAACCTGTCCTCTGCTCCACCTCACCGAAGCCTGAACATCACCTTGCTGCTGCTGCCTGTAACGGGCTGTTTGTGTCCGTACCAACAGGGCTACTGCTCACGCACAGACCCCAGGAGGTAGCTGGCTTGCAGAGCAGGAAAAGCTATCTGTTTTTAGCCCAGCTCCTGACACAGGGAAATTTGTTAACAACCACACTGTTTCCATTCAGCCCCTTCCATCACTTTGGACTCTCACGAATTATTTTAAGGGATCCAGAAAATTCAACGGGGCTAATAAAACAAACCCCAGCAAACCTGATACGATGGAAACTCAGCAATGAACGATCCTATCATAAACCTGTGCCAAGTAAAATCAAGAAACACTTAAAAGGCCAGCACTTCAATGTGGTTACCAGCAGAGGGTAACAATTAGGCTTAAGGGTGACAAAGGCTGATGGCTGAATGATTATTATCCCCTGTGACCCCCCGCGCTCCCCCCCGCCCAGATTTCCACTTGTCACACAGCTCTCCTGCTGCGCACACCAGCAGGTTCCTGTGGATTAACAGTGAGGTTTAAAATCAACAAATGGCACAAGGCCTCCATTCAGCAGCCTTCACCCCAGTACAAAGGAGTAGAAAGGTGCAGGACAGCTTCACAATAGGCAAACAAATGAGCAAACCTCTGCTTTCCTTTTTATTTAAAAACACGCAGGCACACACACACACACACACTCACGCACATGCACGCTAGGGGTTGTCACTGTGTAGGCATCTGTAATAAACTCAGCAACCCCACATTTCAACTTCTGGTTCAGCATTCGACTTTCCTTCCTAATTCTTAAAAAAATACACCAAATAAGAACCACTTGTTAAAACAACAACAACAACAACACATCCAGAAATACCAAGAGTAGCGAAAAAGGATAAATGGAATATTCAGTTTAGGAGACGTCATTTTAAAAACACAATTGTTCCTTTTTCCAACCAGACGCTACAGGATTTTGCTGGGAAGCAAAACATGTTTTGTATTTTGAAAAAATCAAGAGCCATTAATTCCTTACAAAGTACCAAGTATGGTTTTTCCCACATCTTTGCAAGATTTTAACCTCTCTTCCTACTGACATTTCCAGGGGGATGGGAGGGGGAGCAGAAAGAGATGGCATGCTTTCTCCCAAGAAATTCTGCATGTTGAATGGAATTAGCTTTTACGTGGGTGCTTGCAGACTATCTATGAAATGTCTTTCCATACACTGAAGGACACATTAAAAACCCCAGACATAACACCCTTTGTCTTTTTAAATGCACCATTTTCATAGTGCTTTCCTTTCTGACTGGAAAAATCCAACCTTTTTGCTCAATTCTAAATGAGGTTTAGAAACAAATACTGCAGACATCCGTGTTTGTTATGATGCGGATACCTGTGCACTCCAAATGGGACTGAGATCACCCACTCTTTCATATATTCTCTGTAACGCCATTTAGATACTTGGATCACTCTAAGCTTGGAAAGCGGCTCTTGAGAAGTAAAGAATCAGTTTGCTCTCAGTAAGTTGCAGGCATGGGAATCTCCTAGATGAAATATGCATGGGGCTGTGTGTATAATTTTGTGTGTTTATACACATGCATTGTCCAATAAAAACAGTCCATTAAATATTAAATAACAGTATATTTCAGTGAGAGGTTGGCTTCATAACCAAAATAGTGCTTAGTATCATTTCCGCTGAAAAACACGAGAGAAAATCTCTACTGCCTTTCGTCAGTTCTGCATTTGGAAATTCTGTTAACATACAGAGTACTACAGAACAGATACAACAGACTTTGAGAGATAAATAAGGACAGAAGTATTAGGGTAAATTGTCCTAACTGAAGAAACGCGTGGAACTGGTAATTCTTACCTTCAGTTTCAAAAGGTCATTTTTCTTTCTAGCAGCTAGGAATGGCTTTACTGGGGGCCGAACGGAGGGAATATAAGGGGAAGAGGAACACATTACCAAGAGCTGTGCTGCAGTCATGGCTCAAGTGTCCTCTGTTGATATCAGGGCTCAATCTTCTCCTGAGATCCCCGATTTTTTTCTTTTTACTCCCAATATCTTATCATCAATGACATCGTCTTTCAAAGCAAAGCTTATGATTTTTTATGAATCACAGAAAATCCTTCTTCCCATAGAAGAAGAGCATGTGTGTGTGTGAGAGAGAGAGAGAGAGAGAGAGAGAAATCCAGGCTTTTATAAACAGAAGGCTACAAGTTTCCATTCAGAACTTCCTAACTTGGCACAAACCCAATCGTATCATAACCGTTATAGGACAAACTGTCAACAAAGTTGTAAAATAACTGAAAGCAGGGTTTCCCTCATCAGATTTTAGAAAAAGCACTGGGACAAATAATCTGCAAGTCATAAACATATACTCAAAATAACTGTATTAGGCTTTTTAGACTTTCCAAAAAACACTTATACTCTGAAACAGGTAAACAAAAAAAAAGACTATGCCTACATATACACCCTAAAACCTATGTATTGGGTAAGCTGTTCAGAAATCAATCCATATACAATTATTATATTTGGGTAATAATAACAACAATAACAATTAATTGCTTCTCATCCGCAGAGCCAGGAGCAGTTATTTACCTCCTGTTCATGTACACTTCTAGCTTGCTCTGCCAACTGTGGTATATGGAGCTCCAGGTTTGTGTGGTCTGAGGAACAAAGGAAAAAAAACAGCATATTTTCTTCCCTCTTATTCTCTGTTACTGTATTAATCTTACAAACTTTTAAAGCATCTAGTTCTGGTGTGTGATTTCACTAATGTGGAGCTTTAAAGCAACCAAGTGAGCCAATGCACCAGCCTCCAAGAAAGTCCAAGTCCCCTCGGTTCCGCCTCCCCCAGTTCTTGCAGTTTGGCACACACGCCCTTAGTTTGCGTTGGTGGTCTTTATCAGACCACTTGAAATTGTGCAAATTAAACTTGCTAGAAAAGTAACCCCTTTCCCCCCAGCTTTAGCATGATTACGGAGCACAGCTGGCTTCGGGAAGGGCTGGGTGAGCAAAGAGGGGAAGGAAACTCCCCTCCTTCAACAGCCAGCCATGAGCTCAACTCCACTGGCCACCAAAACCACAGCCCAAGTCTGTGCTTTGGAGTAAGCCACAGACAGACCACCTTTTCCCTTTTGATGTGGAATGCGAATTAGTGTTGTGCTTTCATTCTCTAGCTGGACCTAGTTTAAAACAAGCAAGTCTGTCCACATTCATATGTTCTTTGCAAACCCAAACGAATATGGTGCTGATAATGCTTGAAACCATGTAGATTAGATAAAATGCACATTTGTTATAAGTTCTACCAAAGAAGATAAAATCTAATTATTAAAGAGTTTAAATTCTTTTTAATGGAAAATGAAAGCATAGTGAAAACATTAATTTTGGGGGAAACCACATTTAAAGAAGGGCTGGGTGAGAAATATCATTCAGGCTTCATCCACTTCTACTGCAGCAAATTTCAGAGGGCTAACATGACCACCCAGGAAGATAAATACCATGATGGTTAAACAGAAGGAAAATAATTTATGGAAAATAATATACTAGACTTCAATTTGAAAAACTCATTAAAAACTATTTTAGCTCATGTTCTTGATTCAGTTGGTTGATCCTTAGAAGACTACAAGTGTGAGAGCAGTGAATTCTACAGCAATATGACAACAGCAAAATTGAAAGCAATTTTTATTTTTTTCCCCCCAGACCACTTGAGAATGGAAGTCAGGACCCAACGCAGCAGCCATGAGGAGCATATGGCCCTACAATACCAGATTATTCTGCTCATCTCTCAAGGGAAACTATGGAACAGAAAGAAGGCAAGTCATATGTTAGGGGCTACAGAAGGACATTCCTTGTTATCACTTAGCCAAGTATCTGTTTATTCTGTGTAGGTAAATACACACCAACACATTTCCCCTCTTTCCACCTTC